CACGATTAACTCTTCGCTTAATCTTTCGTGCTCCGAGTTGCATCTTGAAAAAAAAAAAAAGAAAGAAAAAATTCCTCGCCTTTCGTTTCTCGCGATCTCGCATCCGGAAAATCGTTCACCAAAGAATTAAAGTCGATGCGAAAAGACACGAGGCGATTTTCTCCCTTTCCTCCCTCTCTTTCTTAATCCCCTCCTCGATGAGTATTTCTTTTGCTCTCTCTTTCGCAACGGATTTTCAGAAATCCTTCCTCGGATTAATTTCTAGACGTTTATTGATCCGTTGCTGAGAAGTTCAAGAGTTGTTGATGAAATTTAATTTCCACAAATTTGTCGTTTCTTTTTTTAAAAAAAATACGAAATCGAGATTTGGAAGAGATCGAGAAGTATCAATAAAATCCTCCTTCCAACGTGTTTCCATTCGACACTCTGTAATTTTTTTTCCATCCACGCAACAACATTTTAAAACGGTTATTGGATGTAACCAATAATTGGATATCGATATCCAAGGAGCAAGCGATTTCTCGATATCGAGCGCGGTTTCGATGCATTGCGTTTCCATCCATGGAAATACGGTCCCCGATGGAATTTATACGAGGATATTACTAGAGCATTATAAATTAATAGCGGCGACAAAACTATTTGCACGGTTGATTAATATCACGATTCGCAATTCAGAGATAACAACGAGCGCGGAAACGGTTCGGGGAGGATCGCTTTTCACCGGCCATTTAAAATAATTGTCCCGGGAACGATTCAACGTTCATTCACACGCGAGAAGATTGAATTTCGATTCGAGGCTATCCATGCTTTTTCCACGAAAACGTAAAACACGAAATCAGTGAAATTACACATCTCCACGCTTGTTAGACAATTATGGACAATAAATTCATTCGCGATATATATGAAAATGGCGGGGGGATCGAATTCAATCCCCACTTCCCATCGTTTCACTATTATTTTATCCAAATACAAGAGGTGCATACTCGGATCGCTTCCTTCTGTTTCGCTAATTCCATCGCCATGCCGCCAATTATCATATTTATAAAACGGCCGTGTTCCATATTCAACCGAAGTGGAAATTTCCTGAGGAGCTTGATTAATTTTTTAACCTAGATTCTCCGTCTTTTTTCTATCGATTCTCGAAACCGAAACATGGCAATTTTATTTGAAACACGCGCGAAAACGAATTCTTTTTGCCTCGCAACAAATAAATTTCGTATTACGAGATAAAAGATGTAATTGGAGGGATAAACGAAGAGATAAATCTTTTAACAAAAAAAAAGAAGAGAGAGAGAGGGAGAAATCCTTTGATCGAAGTTAAAACGGCGAACGTTTACAAGACAAAAGCTCCTCGTCAAGATTTTATCGAGTTTTCCACGGGGAAGAAAAAAAAGAGAAAAAGATTAAAAGCGGTTTTACGAGCGATCCTTTGAAGATTGAAATTCTTCCACATCTGTTTATCTAAATTTAAAACGATCTTAACGAGGCTGGAGCTGAAACAAGCAAGGTTTTTCGTAAGACGCCTTCCAATCCCCGGCTTGATTTCGTTACGCGGAGAAATAACGGTTTCAACCGTGATTCGCCGTGAAACTCGCCGTATGCAAAAGCATCCACCATCCTTCCGCCAGACGAGAAATCTCGTCAACGTAATTTCCATGCTGTCGTGTTGCGTGCAATTTATAGCGCGAACCGATCCCCGAGCTATTTAAATTGGATCGGCCATCGTAGTGTGTCGGTAAACGTGGATTATACTCGAGATTAATTCGTGAAAATACACTTATATGTGATGTATATACACGGCACGATCGACGACACACCCCCAGCCTGATAGAATACCGCGTTCTGTCTTTTATGCACGTCCCTGGAAGGCCAATTATTTGTCCAATTTACGTAATTCGATATTAACTCGCAGAGAAATCCAGAGAAGATGATATATCGGAGGCTCGCATGTAATTTCCTCTACATCGAATTTATATTTTTCAACAAATACCTGCAGCTTACATCTGGAAATTGGAAATATCGTATTATTTTTAATAATAAAAAAATATTTTATATTTCGCGGGAAATACTTGTACCTCTCGTTTCAAATTTTTATGAAATATATATATATACATATTTTTTTAATTAATATAAAATACGAGAGGGGAGACTGGATAGTTCTATTGAATGAATAAAAGGAAGATTTCACTTTTGAATTTCTGTTCCAAATAAAAATTCGATGATTGTCCGATTTATAATAGGATTATTAACCTGATCGATACCTTAATTTTTTTATTTTATATCCTTCCTCCTCTAGAAACGATCGAAATCAAGGAATATTATTGGCTATCAGTTCTGTCTCCGCATAGATCAGAACGAATATCATATATCCAAACGAAGGTACGAGCTAGTTTTCACTGGATTCTTACATCGCAAGCCATCACGTGTAGTAAAGCGTTGTCGCAAACACTTTTTTCATCGTCTCTGACGATGAAAACGAAGCCGACTAAAAACCAACCGTACGGAAGTCTCAAAAGTTGCGAACCAATCACGCGGCTCGATACGCAACTGCACCTGAAAATACACGATATTAGTAATAATACAATAAAAATCCATCAACTATTAAACGTATCCTCCACAATATCCGCTACATCCACTAATATTTATTTATACGCGACAGCCACACTCAACTTCTCCTCGATCGACACCTAGAAAAAGAAAAAACGAAAAGGAGATTATTTATTTTCTCCTCGATTCCGAACTACTCTGTTAACTCGTGAAAAAAGAGAGACTCGTAGCGCCATCCAACGAATCCCGATCGTAGAGAAATCGTGTATGCAACGTTTCGTACATACAAGCAGCATTAATAAAAATGTTTTAAGCCGAGTTGCGACGGCGAGTCTCGTCGAGGATAATTGAAATCCATACGAGTGCAACGATAAACAAGACGGAGAGGAACAACGGGAGAAGAATCGTCGCCGTAATCACCGTTTTCGTCGAGGAGAAATTATCGCGATCATTCGCCGTGGAAATGTACGATTTTGGTAAGGCGAGAGAAATTAGCACGGATGGCTCGAATTTACGGAGGGGAGGAGGAGGAGGGTCGCAAATCAAATCACGGTGGGAAAGAATGCGATATTGTTGCGGGAGAAATGCGGGACGACGATGCATCGTTTCGCGTGCATTTGTGATTTAATGAAACGTTGCACGATATGGCCGACGCGAACGAGTCGCGTTTCGTTCGTTCAAAGTTATGCGAATCTTTCGAAACATCTTTGAAAATTGTTTCCTTATTTATCGTGGTATATTACTTTGTCTTCGATAGGGTGTGAATGTATGGATGATCCAGAGAAAGAGAGTAATGCAAAATGCGAAACAATTGTAACGATTTGTCTTGTATAGAGTATAAGAAAATATTGTTCCTAGAAAGGATATCTTCTAGTAAGAGAATCGAAAGATTGAGTATGCATATTATTCCTTTTTCCACTTTTTAATAAATAATATATATATTTATAACAAGATGATAAACACTTGAAACGATCTTTTAGAAATAAACGTGGCTGTTTGATTAATTTCATTTATTTACTTAACTTCTTCGAGCGAATCTTCGAGATAAAAGGCAGGAAAGTGGAAAATCATCTTGGAAAGTCGGAATGATTTAAATTCGTAATACGCGCGACTCGTCCAGATTTCATGGGAATGTTATAATTAATTCTTCCTCCGAAGGGGACCTCATTAATATTTAATTCGACTTTACTATTACTCGATCGGAATCCATAAAGTGTTCATTAATATTCAATTCGTAATCGTGTCTCTCCGATACTCCGTTTCCAAAGAGGGATGGCAACGTTTTCGAAATTCGCAATTTCGCTCCACCCATCCGAACGAATTTCTGATATTTCTGTCTGAACGAATTTTTTTTTTTGCCTCAATTTGATCTGTACTATATAATATTTTTTTTTTTTTTTTTCGAAAATGAAACTTCAACTGCACGCCAGTTTATTTAAAATATCGTACGTACGTTTAATCGAAATAATTATAATGATGAATCAGTTCCATTGTGTCCAGATTTATAGAAGAGCTGTCAGTTCCGAGAAAAAAGTTTTTTTCGAAAGTTTATTAGGATTTCGGAACAATTTATTCGTGAAAAAAAAAAAAAAGAAAAAAGAAAAATTCGTAAAAATCGTACCAACTTTCTCGATTATTCTTCGATCTAATTAATTCATGTTTTTTCCTTTTTTTTAAAACGAGAAATTAATGACGAAACAAGAAAAAAAATTTAATGTTATATTAACCCGTCGTTAATTCATCTCGAAAAATTAATAATTCTCGTAATACACTCATTTTTCAAAACCAAAACGTTTCTTCGATATTATATCACGTCACGATTATCAATTCGAATAATACTCGAATTGGATCAAAATTTTGATCAATACTTCCCCCCCTCCAAACTTAACCGATCAATCATCGTACGTCGATTGTCACCGATGATCGCGGCTCTGAATTGATGACGATGAATGTACACAGCCTCTTGTTACGGGTCATTTGATAAGGGATGAATACCAGAAAATCTGTCGTCTCGATTTCCAAGCGTGCCCGAACTTTCTCGCGAAAGGTAAGGACGTTAATAGAAGAGACATTTGCGGAGAATCGGTGACTCGAGAATTTGGATCAAACTTTGTTCTCCCCTCTTTTTATTCAACCGATCGTTCATCGACCAGTTTGTTTCGTGTCGTCTTCTCTGATCAAACGATCGAACGAAGCAAACGACACGCGTTTATAAATATTTTACAATTAAAGATAAAATAGATAGAAAGTTAAAAGAGCGTGCAAAGATGGAACAAATTCTCGATTTTGTATCATCAGATAGAAGTATCTCATAGCCCCGTTTCACAATTCTGCACGGAAATATTGGAAGCGTGAGAGAAGATCGAACAAATTCCACGATCTCGGGAAAGATTTGAACGTGGACGCGCGTGAAACAAGCGATGGCCATCGGTGGTTAAACGATGGCGCAGATAGCGCGACGAGTTTGCGAGTTGTATCGTAAAAGAATGATACGCGTGACGGAGGAAAAGAATGGGGCGAGGGTTTTACGAGGGCGAATATAAACGTTTGCCATGCAAATACCAAAAAGCAGATAGCGCGACCGTGGCGGAAATATAACGCGATCAGACGCGGCCAACTTCCACGATTCCACTTTTTCCCACGGATTTTCTCATCCCTCCATCGTTTTATTTCCTTCATTTTTATTTTTTCCCCGTGACGCCAACCTTTTTAATCATCGTTATTACCGCGCATTCGAATCATTCCGTCGTTTATTCGAATTTCGTAATTTCGCATCTGTCGCGATCACTCTTACTGCGATGTTACGATTACGTTATTTCTGATAAACGAATCTTCTCAGGATCGCCCAATCTAAAATATTTTTGCACCAGTCTTCGAGTTGAAGTGTTTACTCTCTTTTCCACATGTTGTCCGAAAGCCGGAAAATCGATAAAAGAGTATGAGTATGAAATAATCGCACAGTGTAACAAACAAATTGTCAGATTTCATATTTTTAACTCTCTCTCTCTTTTTTATCGATCAAGATGCAACGCTATTACAAAGACAAACCGTCACGATTGAAAAGAAAGAGAAGCATCAAACGACAAGCTTGGGTGTTATCCGAGCAGATCGCGATGACCAAATCCCACTTTGTACAAACTTTAATAAAATACTCCAAGCTGTACTGCAAGTACACGAAACTGGCAGGATTCAGATACTTCGTGGAGTCTAAAACAACGTGGTTCGACAGGTAATCTCATCCATTGATATTTACGCTCGTGCAGTGTAACCCCACTTAAAAGAACAAAGCACAACTTCTTGCCACTGTTTTACACTCGCCGCTGCAACCTTCGTGCGGAATATTTTTCGCTGCGAATAATAATACCGAGAAAATCAAGATGTCGAAATCAAACGAGACACCGTATAACGTGTCGTCTCGTGTCGAGCTTATTCCAGGTGTAAATATTTAGAATTTACCGTGTGCACCACGGTGCTTGTTTACTGAAATTCGCGCGCGATTCCACGGGGAGGAAGAAAGTTTTTCGCACGATCGAGTTTTTAGAACCTCGATATATATATATATTTAGAAACGATATTTTTCAGAACGCTGTGGTTCCTGATGTACGCGGTCACGGTACCCGCGATGGTCTACATGGTTTACAACGTTTATCTGGAATTTATGGAGAATCCATTGTTCACCAGCGTCGAAACCGAATACTTCCCGACGCACGAGCTCAATTTCCCGGGTAAATTAAACGCGCTTTCGTAGCGATCGGAAAAATAATCGCGGAGGAGAATCGAAAGATCGTTTGTGCCGATTGGCCCTGAAATTGGCCGAATCCTTCTGAGAACTGGGGGAGTTAAAATGCTTTCCAAACTTGTTGAAATTGTTTGAAAGCTTTATTTCGACCGTAACACACCACGCTTCCTCCTTTTAGTTTTATCCATTAACGGTTCGAGCGTTCGTAAACGCAACACTTCGTTTGCAATTCTTTTTTCCCCACTCGATTTGCATTATTGCATCGCGTATGTGCGCGCGCGTGTCTTTTTTTTTTACAGTCGTTGGAACCAGTTATTTCAAGAATTTCCCTTCTATTTTCTTCCTTTTCTATGTTATCTGCGTTCAGTACAATTTTATGAAATTTAAAAACACTTGGAATTTTTTCCCTTTAATTTACTCCTCAATTTCTATTGTTTCGATACACAGGGATATATTCCTGCAAATTATTCGTTACACAGGAGTGTTTGTGCCAACTCTTTCACTTCGACCGATTCGATTTTTAACGATAAAAATATATTTCTGATAATTCGTTACTTCGAAATTCCACAGGAAAATCCAGGAGAATCGTTCCAATACCCGAAAAATATTTTTCCAGGGATAGCAATTTGCAGCGTGAACCGAATAAGTCGTCGATCGGCCACGGAATTAGCGAACGAAATGTAAGTACGATCGAATAATTCTTTTTCCTTTTTTTTTCTTTTTTTTTTTTTCGAGAAAAAGCGCGATCCAGCTTTGGTTAAGTTAATCGAACACATCGGACAGCGGATAATTTCAATCGCGGTTCTCCAAGTTACGTTTGGAATTGGTTCATAAACGAATTTCACCGCTATTTCCCCGCATTCCCGAAAATTCTATTTCGTCCATATCCGCGCACGTTCCAAAATGCGGAAAATTCGCGTAGGAGAGTTTGATCGCGCATTATGAGAAAACTTATCGCGCGGAAGTTATCGCGAGTCTATGGCAGCCAAATCAAGTTTAAACTTACGAATTTGCAACTTTGGATGGGAGGAGGATAGTGGAAAAATTCTTGCCAACTTCGAAGAACGAGGTGGAGGAACGAATGATAATATTTTTCTTTTTTTCCCACCGAAAAAAAATAAACGTTTCGTTCGAACACGCGCCAATTTCGTATCGTCGCGAGATGATATAAACGGGTGTTTGGAAGAGAGATCCTCTCCCGAGAGTTCGTTAAAAAAGCGTCCCTAATTAGCTTCGAATTTGCAAAAACCGGCCATTAATATTCAGTTAGCGAGAGTTTTACTTTAAATCCATTCCGTGGAAAAAATTCTCATTAATACGCAACTGTTCGATGTAACGAATGATAAAGAGAGAGAGAGAGAGAGAGAGAGGAATAAAGATCGATTGCGTCTATCTAATATTGAAACAATATAGAGACCGTTTGGTTATATTCGTGATTTATTCGTATTTAATGTGATTATTCGTAAGATAAATATTGAACTCGACCCATGTAATTTTATCCAAATCCAAAATTTGATACTGAATTTCCTTTACGAACATTTCCATTCTTGTTAATTTTTCAAACACAGGGAAATAGAATTTTTAATTTAATCCTAACGTTTTCAACGATCGATCCCCATCGCTTCCCATCATCTATACATTTTATCATGTTTGATCGTTTACTCAATCTCTCTCGCCCAAATTTGATCATATCCATGAAAATTTCCCGTCCAATTTCAAAAATTGCACCCACCATTTTGTACACACTTTTCGAAGCCTCGTATTAAATAAAACCTCTCTCTAATTCTCACTCTCTCACCTTCGTTTTAATTTAATTAACGTTCAAGTTACGCGGCCAATATCACCCATCTATCGCTCGACGAGATCTTAGAGGCGATCTTCCAGCTGGGCGATCTCTACGACTCCGAGTTCATGATGCAAAATACCTATCGAATCGACCAACTTCTCACCATCTTCTACAACGATTCTTACAGCATCACCGAATTGATGAAACGGGTGAGCCCGATTACAACACAACGCAACGACAGCCTTCGACAAGAATAACTTATAATATCTAACTATAAGAATTCCTGTTCCACCGAATCCCTCCCTCTCCATCCGTTTACAAACGTTTCAGTTAACGCCACAGTGTTCCACCATGCTGTCAAAGTGTCGGTTCCACGACAAGGAACAGAACTGTTCCGAGCTGTTCGCATTTCGCAAAACGCAGGACGGTTTCTGTTGCACGTTCAATTACGCGACCGAAGGGGACGACGCGTATTTGTGAGTTTCTTCGACTCCCCTCACTCAAGAGGGGAGGCAGGTCAACAAAATTTTTTCAATTTTTCTTCCTCTTATCTCGGTGGAAATATCTCTTCACGACCGTGGTTTCGTAGCATGAGACGTGAAAATGGGACGAATCATCGACTGGAACCGGTCAAGGTTGAAAATTTGACCGAGAGCGGTGGGCTGTCGGTGCTGCTCGAATCATCTCTGGACGATTACTTCTATCCTATTTTCCCCAGTGCCGAGTGGAAGGTAATTTTTCATCGGCCGAGTTTAAGGATGCTTTGCCACCGAATTTTAAAAATATTTTTCTAACGCTTCTAACCGAGGGAGGATGGATTCTTCGCGTATCGCTCGTTTGTTTCATTTATCATCCGTTTAAACTCCCGTAATTAATCGAGAATGGATCCAATTGATGACCAATGCAAAAATTAAAATATCATCTCATTTAATGGATCGTTCAATTCGTAATATAATTATTACGAAGCATACGACGATATTTCGCGAATTAATATCACGAAATGGCAAATAAATTTCGAGGGGGATCGTCGAAATCCGATCGAAAAATCCATTCAGAGATCGGGCGGAAACGGTTGTGATGAAACTGAAAACTGGAAATATGGGTCGTGACGATTATCTCGCGTGGCAGTCAAGGGTCGGTGCATTATGCAAATTGCACTTTTTTTCCCCAACGCTTCATCTACTGCCGTAAAATATACCGTATGAATATTTCACGCGTCGCTCAAGTCAATCCGAAACGATGAGTTCTTTGTTATCCACGAATATTGAAACTTCGTACGACGAAGAATAGACGATTTCTTTATTGGTTCTTTCTCCCTCCCCCTCTTTTTAAAACTTCGATAAATTTGATGATTTTCCTTTCTTCGACGCCAGGTGACGATCTTCAATCCCCACGATTATCCGGACACGACCAGCGGAGGAGTAATCGACTTTCTAGTCTCGCCAAGGAAACACCGGAGTGTGGAATTAGAGGCGATCATGTTTTACAGTTTAAAGAACATTATACCATATTCTCTTGAGAAACGAAACTGCATGTTCGAAGATGAAATGGGTGCCATTTCCTACACTTACAGCGACTGCATCGTCGATTGCAAGATAAAGGACATATTGAACATTTGTGGATGCGTACCTTTCTTCTTGCCTAATCAAGGTAAGAATCATCGATGGTTTCTCGATTATCCAAAAGTGCTTCGTTTAGTCATTTTATAAGAACGAAGATTAATCTGCATAATTTCTATATCTTCTCATTTCACCCGCCCTTTCATACTCCCTCCATTGTACTCCATCTACTACTCTTTCCTCATCCATTTACCTTTTCCACCTTTATTCTATCTATTTCAACTTTTAAAGTTAAATTTGAAACCGAGTTTTAATCTTAATCTCTCCACTTGTTACTCAACGTATTTAAACTTCACTTTCACTCTCTTATCTTTCCAATTAAACGATAACCATCTTAGTTTATTCTTTACTATTACCGCACAACCAAGGAATTTATTTGCCCCTCGTTCACCTTTTGCATGCATATACATCCATGTCTTTTTTCCAGAAAAGAAGCAACAACTCATATAGCTTCCAATCTCATATTTCGCACGAACTCTCCACGAATTCAACCATTTTAATTCCTCGAGTCGGAGAAAGAAAAAACAAAATCTTCCCCGCCATTCCATTGTTTAAATATACGCGTAATGTTTTAAAAACGAAGATAACACCGCAAGAAAATGTTCGAAAGCTCCCTCCATCTTCTATTTTCCCCCGCGTCGAAACGAACCGCGCTCTTGCCAGACATTAACGACTTCCTGTCTCTTCTTCTCCCGAGATTAGACGCTACGAGATTCGACTCATCTGTCGAGGGACGCCGTGCTTTTGACTTCAACGCCGGCTTAAAGCGTTAAAGCGGATCGCGCGAAAGGAAGGGGCGGCGAAAACGGGGTGAAACGCGAATCCAGGCCTGGCCGTTTATTTTCCTTCTTTATCTCCGCGAATCCCGAATACCCACGCAAAAATCCGCGTATTCGCTATTTAACAAGGAAATTCATCCAGTGGAAAATTTCAATTAATAAATCGTGTTATCATAACTCCTTTTCATACGAAATTTTCATCAAACGCGTTCATCGATACGCGTAGCATGAATGAATCGTTGTACGAGGAGCAATTTTTTTAATTAATGGAATATTCCCATCCCTTCGAGGGAATCTTCGAAGTATTATCTTTCGAATTATTGAAAAAATTTTAGATATATATTCAGGTTTTACTGCCGTATTGTGCTCTGTCTTGTAAAAAAATATTTCTAAATGAAATCACATTCACGAGAAAATGGTGAAAATTTCGTTCGTTCGAAAAGATTTTAGTTGAACTCGTGTTTCATAAGGATTTGTTGTGTGGATTATCTGCTGCATTCTTAAAAATTAATACGAGATAAAAATTTAATTCTTCTCAAGAGCACCATTTTTATTTGGCCTCCCTCTTGAATATTTCTTAAACTATTCGTTGTCATCGATCGAGTAACATAAAAATCAGAGAGAACAACGAATTTTTCTTACCGCGAATTTAATGCCTTCTTCTCATTTGTTTTTTGTTACATTTCCTGTTAACAAGATATTCTTAAGACTGCTTCAAAGTTGCTACAATTTTGAGAGTGTACCTCCAAAGTTGAATTACTTTTAATATCGTTCCATTCAGAAACTTATCTTCACTTTAAACTGTTTCATCGAGTCACACCCATTTCAAACGACGTTTCTCGAACAATTTACCCGAAAACGTCGAACAACGGATTTCAAAATCGTTTTAATATCGCGTGTTCCGTGACTGGAATATATCCCCGTAGAGAACAATTTCATTAACCAGTGTCGCGTGCAATTTTATTAATCTTCATCTCTCTAGTCCTACGTTATTTTCGTATCTCGCAATCGTGTTCCTTGAATAATTCAGCAACCAAGGTGACCGGCTAACTTTAAAATATTCACCGCCTTTCGTCCCAACATTTCGTATTTTTCCATGCTTTCACCACGAAAAACTGAATTGTTGTTTCCTCAGAACGTGAGGAACAATCCGTTTATTATCGAACCAAATATTTTACACACAGCTACTTACTTTATAACTTCCCTTATTTTCCAGGATCGAAAAGGGTGTGCAACTTGAAAGACGTGCCTTGCTTGTCGAAGCACAAATGTAAGCCCCATCGAAACTTCGTTCGTGTTATCGAAACGTTGAATTGTTATTATCGTGCAAAATTTGTGTCTCTATTACGGAATCGATTAATTCTCTACGATTATAATTATTAACATTGCAAAAGTTAATTTCTCTAATTACTCGCGAATCCACATATTACATTAGTTGTAGTTTTAAAATACATAAAATTTTCTCACCGAAATAATATTTTTCTAAATTGTAGCTAAATGGTTCTCGGTCATACCACACAAGAATCTGTACAACATCGAGGAAGTGAAGGATATTCTGAGTTGCGGCAATTGCTATCCCGAATGCGACAGTGTGAATTACAATGCCAAGATATCTATAGCCGATTTGGAATCGAATCAACACGTCGCTGAATTATTGTGAGTGTGTATGTTCGCTTTATATAGCCACGTTTACTCTTTATAAACGTATTATATTAACACGTTCGAAGAGATAACGTGGACATCAAGGATCAATCGGTGGTAACGATATACTTCAGAAAATACGGCACCATCAGATTGAGGCAAGACGTGATCTATCGTTGGTACGAACTGATGGGTAAGAATATTTTATCAACATTTCACAATCATAAAATAATATCCTCTCCTCCTTTATTCTCTTAACATTGAAAAGTACCGACTTCGTCATAATTTAAAAATCCTGCAAATAGATAATCCTCCGAACAAAATTATCGTATGTATTTTTTATCCTCTTCATCCTTTATCGTTTCCAAGCATCGCGCAGGAACAATCTCCGCGTATACATCGAATATTGGTCGAGAATGAGGGCAAGAAATATTTATCAAAGGGTTCGATTTACATTGAAATTTTTAGCTCAAGGTGTTGGCACACGATAAACGCTCGTGCCTAAGGGTAAACAGCGGATAAGAAAAGATTTCGTCGTGTTTGCGACGATAAACATTTTGGAGAAAGTTCGAAGAGAGAGAGAGAGAGAGAGAGAGAGCAAAGATCATAAAATACAGACGATTCATCGTGTAACGAAGAGTTTGGCGCGCGAGAAGTTTCCGTAATCTGTTGACCTGGGATGGAAAAATAAAAGAACGGAAGGAGCAATCCCTGCTTGATCCATTGCGCTATATACACACTCTCGTGATACCGGTTACAATGTAATGCACTCGGGATAAAGGACACACATTTTTCGTTAGTGAAAATCCACTCGCCCCTTTTCCTCGTTCGAGAAACGACGAAGTAATATCTTCGTGGAAAAAAACGTGTAATGCAAACATCGTTTCTACGATTCTGTGATCAATGTTAGGAGAGAACACGAAAATTCATTCTTACGTTGTATGTGTCTGTGACTGGAATTAGTATCATTATCGTGTTTCCCAATACGATTAAATTTTATATTTAATGAGGGATAACGAATTGTTTCGCACGTATCTTCCCCTGAAACAAGTGAATTAAAATCTGTCTTATTTAAAATTTCCAATAAATAAAATTACGAGACGAGCAAAGTTTTTAAATGCTTATCTGCAATTACCGGGCCGAAGTCGTGTTGCGAAGGGTTGAAAATTTTATCCACGTCATCCTACAATTTCCTCTCCGATATTTCATACATCCTCCATCCCGACCTTTCCTTATTTGACGCATTCTAATTCGATTCTCGCGGCCGGGAAAGTAAAGTTAACCGTTTCGATCGACGTTTTACAGGCGACGCGAGCGGTATTTGCGGCATCTTCGTCGGTTTCAGCCTGATCGCGATCGTCGAGTTCGCCTATTTCGTCGGCCTGTTCATGCTCGAGCTTTTAAAGGGACCAACTTCGTCTAAAGGGGACGGAAACGGGCCGAGAGCAAACAGCCACCGGTACAGACGATTTATTGGGGTGAGTTGTATTCGAGAACTACGACAAAGAATCAACGTGATCGGGCTGTTCGTGGTAAATATTAGCACGTTACACGATATTCTCTCATCCCCCAATGTTCGTTCGAATAATGCGTGTTCACTTCACGGCGAGATAGATTCTGTTCTATCTATTGAATTTTATTGTAAAAATGATATTGTCAAGATTCATGCCAAGGTTTCTGGTTCAAGGTTTTGCCAATTCATCGATGTTTATGGGAAATCGAATTTTTTTGCGAACTTTTCTTACACACTTTATATATTTCTGCGTGTCATATATGCTTTGTATGCTTATAGATTTATAATATTAATATTAGATTTGTAAATTCTTTATTCTTTCTTGTCCTTTCTTGTCTCTTATCATTTTTATTACAGTATAATAGTTCTTTATTGAGATTTTCTAAATGAAGGAATACTTTTTTCACATCTTGATCCTAAATAATTTATTCATAGAATCCCCTTTACGGAGTCCTGTTTTGTTTTATCGTTGGAATATTCCTCTTGACGTCTGCTTTACTACGACATTTTATTGTCGTAATTCATTATCCCTTTGTAAAACTAACTTTCCACCACTGTTACAATTTCGTCGCTTTAAAGAACCCTTCTCGAATAACGGAATTGTTTCCTCGAATGTGAATATTCTTCACGTGTTCAACGAAATAATGTGTTTAATAAAAAGATATCCTCAAAAGGATATCCATAGGATGAAAATAAATTTTTTTCCCGTTATCGATAAGGGTTGAAAATTATCTATGAAACATAATTCTCACCAAGTATTTTATTTTCTTGATGAAATATTTTCCAATCAAGTTTCTCCAAGATGAAAATAATATCGAATACGGTAATTGGATTGTATATTTAAATAAACAAAAAAAGAAAAAAATTATTGTTATCAATATCATGCTTGGCCTCAAAAAGAAGCCTCAAAATCGAAAAATAATTTTACCGTTGTATTAATATTATATCTCACGGATATTTGATCTCGAATCTAATTATATTAAACTTTCGTATTTTTCAACAGTGAGAATTAGAATAGAGAATTCGTACAAAGGAATGGAGATGAAGATACATATTCTTCTAGAAAAATTAGCAAATCTCCAGGTTTCTCCTTTCCAAAATTGAGCAAAAAAAGAAAATTCAAAAATCTGCGCGACTACAGCATAAATTGCATAAACTGTCGAGCTTTCTAACGAGTCTTCACGAGTGTTCGTTTAAAAGCGTTAAAGTTGGCCTCGCGAAACGTGGCACATGAAGGAAGAAACACTCGATAAGTTATAAATTATTTTTCCTCGTATCGATGACAATTCGATACTTCATTATTGTTCATACGAAGAATTATTGTTAAATTTAATCAATCAAATAAATTTAACAATTAATGAATATTGGAAAAGAAGGATGGGAAATAAATTTAACAAAATTAATTGCTATCGATCGGAATAAATGTATGGTAACGGTTGATAAGGAGAAAAAGCAAATCGATGGAATGTACGATGTGTAAGGATAAAATATTAATATGGAACACGCATTTACCGATGACTCCTAATGTTTAAATAATAAATATTTATTATTTAGATTAATCGGAGAAATTGTTGAAACAAAAAAAAGTGACGTTGTAAAATTATGAATGCAACATTTCATCCACTTGTAACACTTGGCCAGGTATTATATCATTGATATGATTTTCGAAATGATATGTAAATACAGCATATCGTTAAAATTGGACGAAATATTAGCACATTTGAATTTCTTTCAACTTGTATTGATCAGAAAATATTGATAACGGAATAAAAATTCCTAGAAAAGAAAAAAAAAAAAGAAGAAATAGCTTACACTCTCACGATTATGTAATCAAATGTACATTAGAAAGATACGTGTCTCTAATATAAGATTGAACATTATTATTACGTTGAATTTTTATTTTTACAAAGTGGATTTAAAAAACGTTAACAATTTCATTCCTTCCATCAATATCAATCTCTGTTTTACGTTTAAAGGCAGAAATGGAGCATGCTCGATTGCTATCAAAGCCACTAGTATGCTTCACGGATTAAAAGCTCAAAGTCGACGCCTTTTCGATACCATCCATTTGTACTATTACGAGGCTTTGCTTCCCACCCATTGTGATGAAACTCAATCATTCGAACGTGCTCGAGGTTTCGAAATGATCGACTTGTGCCGTCCACCACAGGCGAAGATGAAATTCACCGTGAATAAGCGATCCACCCAACTGAATTATTGTTGATTCGAAAGATTCGCCCTCCTGTTTCGTCCAAATTCATATCCCCTTAATCGTTCCCTTTTACTCTTTTTGTTGCAAAGAAAGTGTCGCTACGTTAATATCCATTCTTTACTCTTTTGTTTCAACAATCCTTCGATAAAGGCAAACGTTGTAATCTCTTTCTTTCAAGACGGAATCCTATTCGTGCGTCGATCATTCTTTCGTCCCTTTGTTCGAACGGAGAAGAGAAAGTATCATGATACGACCGAGCTACGAATATTCAATTTTCAAATAAAAATTATCTCTAAATTTTCGATAATTAGATCATCGTTTTACAGATCCCACCAATATTACACTCCTAATTACTTCTGCCAATGAATTCTCGAAGCACAGATATGAACGAGTAAAGAGAATTACGGGGGACGCGCGGATTTGTTTTCTAGGATATTCGTGGCAACGATGATAACTGCAACACAGTTACGTTACGATCTCACAAAGCGGCGCCACGCCACAAAGGTTCATCGTGGAAATACGCAGTTCCCGTTCTATATGAATTATATCCCTCCCTTCCTCCTCCCCCCCTTCCCCCCTCATGGATCTAATGCCAGCCGTGGAAGCCTAGGCAACGCAGTTATAGGAAACAAAGCGTTATTAATTATTGAAACGAGCTTTGCTTTGATTCGTGCTACCAGAATAGGAGCGCGAGGCTGGGGCCAGACGTACCACGGGCTTTAATTTTACACGCGTTTATATTCGGATCGGATTAACGGATAGTCAACACGTGATTCCGTAGAAGAAGAGGAAGAAGAAGAAGAAGAAGAAGATATTGTTTCATCTCGATTCATTTTTCTCAAATTCATCGCGTATATTTGTCAATAATGTTTCGTTCGTATATCTTTCCAATCGAAATAATGTGACCCAATATGAACTTTTATCGAAATATCGACAAAAGTCGAAAAAAAAAAATAGAACGGAACAAAAATTTGAAAGAAGAAACCTTCTTTGTCCCTTCTTCATTCTCCGCGTATATAAATATATGAAACTTACGTTTCGTGGAATCGAGCAAGCAGATTTTATATATCGCCAACAAAGAAACGATTAATCAAAGACGAGTCTCTCTCTCTCTCTCTCTGTCTCTCTCTGAATCGGATATCAGTAGAATTTAATTACGCGAGGTAAAACAAGGTTACGAAACGTTAAATGAATGAAACGGCGAGTAAACGTAGCAGGGTTAGTCAAACGACGCGTAATATCTTGGCAAACAATTGCGAATAAATTTCTCAACCGTGGAGAAGCTTGTTCCTTCGAGAATGAATTTCAACAGAGAAAGAGAGAGAGAGATTCGGCGAGATTGTTACTCACCAAGGAATAATTCTACAGAGGAATAATTCCACGAGGGAAACGTTTCGTCTATCTACCCAATGTTCCAATGTACGTATCGACGATGTGGCGAGATTTAGAGAGGGGAAAAGGGAACAAGTGCGGTGATTCGATTAACGTCGTGTAAACTTGATCTATTTTACGCCAACACCTCGCCTCTCGTTCGTTCCCCCTCCCCCCCCCCGTGTCAGGGTTGCAAGGTTGGCGAGAAGTCGCACGTGCACCACCAACGTGCTTGTGTTACATTCACCGGGATCGGTGAACCACGCATTTTCATAACGGCACACGTACGCAACACACCAGATTGCCGCATGCTCGAAACGATAGAGCGTGAGATAGTCGAGGGCTGAATTAGCGACTAAACTGGCAGCACCCGGGTTGCCAAGGATCATTCCAGTCACGAACCTGACATCTGATGAGGTCCCCGAAGTTTTATGGCCTTAATAACCGGTTATCAAGCAGGCGAATTCAAGGCCAACGAGTGGGTGATTCTCAATCACTTGTTGAACGTGATTTATTATTTCGTTCGATGGTTCAACAAATGTATCTTTGCGCCCATTTTTTTTTTTACCGTTGTAGAATCTCTGGAAAATCATTATTATTATTAATAATAATTATTAATAACGAGATTAAGATGGAAATTTTTTTTTTGTTTTAAAAAGATTCCGATTTATCCCGAATTTCCTTGAAATTTTTATAACTTTCGTATCTTCTTAAATTAAAATACCTTCGATCAGAGTATTGGCGAGAAGTTAAGATAGATAAAATCAATTTATCTATCAGAAAGAAAATCATCGATATTTGAATCGAGAAAATTGAATTGAATTCAATTCTTGGAAATAAAGTTATACGAATTAAAAAAAAAAAAAAAAAAANAAAAAAAAAGAACACGCGAAACACGAAAAAACAAGAGTCGAGCGAGAGAGTACGAAGAATCGTAAAGTTGGAACAATAAATGCGCTTCGAAGCTTGATGTACAATCGCAATTCGTACCTTTCCAGCAATAACGAACAACTGACGGTGCGTGAGATAAGTGGAGCGTATCCGTAATTAAATGGTTTAAGATACGCGATCTTTTCCACGAATCGTTCCCTGCGACGCGTGTAACACGCGGAACGAGGTCGCGGGTGTTTTACGATTCTAATCGAGATACGAAGTGGCGTCCAATCGTTGCGGAAATTCCACCGGTGGGATCGTAATTGTGCGATCAAATCCTTTCTCTTATCCGTCGACGTTATTGTTTTCGTAAAGATTTCATTGTGTATTTTTTCTTTTTTACATTTGGAAAATGAAAAAAAGAAAAAGAACGGATTCAACTTGATTAAAACTCTGCATCGATATCGGGCGTAATTCAAATCGAGCGTAACTCGTTTCATCTCTACTTCTTCTCCCCTTGCGTTTATTTCCATCATATTATTTTATACACGCGCACACATACTTGGCTATATAAATTCGAATTTTTCGTTCATTTCAACTCCGCGTTTCTTCCATCTCGAACATATTATACATAATATTTTTCATCTCTCTAATAGGCTAATTAACAATTAGCTGCAATCCTCGTGGAATAACAAGTTGAATACCTTTGTTCTTTCTCCTCGTTTGCATTGCAACATTCACGTGGGCCATCGACTTCGCGAAGATCGCGAATGAAAATGAAAGAGAATTCTCTGTGAGCATTCCGGATTCAAGGGTGGAAAAAATGCGAACAATCCTATAAAGATAAGTGTAATATCGGTTGGTTTGTAAATATATAGCACAGCATATCTGGCTTTTAAGTACCTCGTGAAAGATGAAGCAGCCCTCGAGGGTAAGTGAAATTCATGGTGTTTCGAGTAATCACGTGTAATCGCATTAAGAAATTACGTTTCATGCACACACGATAAAACGTGTGCAGAATTTCGAGTAATCGAAGGATTATCTGTTCCTAATTTGATCGCAAGCCGAGATACTCGCCGTTAAATACACGCTTTACCTTCATTACATATTCAGTTTATTCTTCGACGCGGGCAACACAATTTTCCAAGATCTTGATCCCTTTCCTTCCTTTAACTTGTGTGTGTGTGTGTATCGTGTAACGGGAGTTTACAATGTATTTTCGAACTGGATGGTGCGATCTTGAAGATAAATTTATTACGAAAGGATAATCGAAAATCGGAAAAATAAATCCGTAAGTAAATTTTTGCAAATTCATTTAAATTTGGCCTCTTTTCACAAATAAAAGTATTGATGAATCTTCGACATGGACGAAATGTAGATTTTATTATTTCATATTTTTGATTTACATAGTTCTCTATCTATCATACACGTATCGATCCCCTTTCAGCTTCTATATTATAGTTCGGAAGAAATATTCTATACATATAATTTTACGAGAAAGAACGCGGATAGCCTGTTATTTATGAAAATAATATCGAAGTTATCCATGTATATTATGGTGAATTTATTTTGAAACCCGGATTAAAAAAAACTTCCCCGAGAAATGTTATTCATTGGAAAACTTCGAGGCAAGTTGACCGTAAATTCTAACGAATCTAACTCGAATCTATCGATGGTTGCTTTAAGAGTTGTTAGAAAATAGAATTTATGAAAAATTGAAATCATACGAGATAAAATGATAAAGAAATTAGGTTAAGAAAGTGTATTAGAAGAAGATGAAAGGATACGTAGAAGAGAGAAATTGATTAAACATAAAACGCATACGACTATTATAAAAGGAATTCGATAATAAACGAGATCCTCCTCATTTCCCGCAAGAAAAGCAATGAACCGTCATTTCACGAGCACTTAAAAAGATTATTTTTCTTTTTTTTTTATATAGAGTTTCATGTTGCAATCGACCATGCTTAATGACAACCAAACGCGTATCATTAAAAAAAAAAAGGGAGAAATTATTATCCACCCAGCCATAATTTCTTCCCTTTACGATTTTTCCTTATTATATTAGACATTTAATTAAAAAAAGGATACGTATCAAACACGATCTTCGATAGTGTTTCATTATACGTAATTTTTGCGAATGCGAAGAACTCTCACAAAAACACAATTCCATCCGTAACAATTTCGCAGGTTGTAACGATCTATTTAAATGAGCTCTCCAACTAATAAGATCAAATTTCCCCGATAAGTTGGAATATAATAGAAATTTAATACAGAAAATCGATAACTACGAGCAAAATGAACCGCATTTTTTCTTTTTTTTTTTTTTGGTCAAAAAGGGGGAGGAAAAAAAATTCTCCTCGATTTCATCCCTTCTTTTTCATTTTTCCATCCGCTTCGATTAAGCAGAGATTTTCGAAACGATCTCCATTTAATTAAGCGATTCGATCTTGGGGGGGGGGAGGAGGGGGAAGGGGAACGTTTAAATTCATAGACACGAAAACCATGTTGGAACCACGCTCCTCTTTGATTTCTGATTCATCCCCATCCGTCTCTGTTTGCGCCATTAACAGAATAAGTCTTCGATCCTCCACGAGATTCTCGCGACTGAAATGTGAGGAGCCGCCCGAGTATTAAATAAACATTACCCGTTCGCGAAGAGTGGAGCATCGCGGCTTTTAACGCGTAGGAACCACCACCAGCCACGGGTGAATAGAAAGAGGATGATGATGGTGGTGGTGGTGGTGGTGGTGGTGGTGGTGATGGTGGAGAATGAGAAAAGGAGGGAGGAGGGGGAGGAGGGGGAGGGGGGGGGGACGGTTTATAGCACGTCGTTTCGCCGCACTGCAGAAAATTGCACCGGCACGGATAATTTCAATAACTGCACTCGAAAAGCGTGACCTCGTTGAAGAATCGTGAACCAGCCAGCCACACCCCCTCCTCCTCCACCTCATCCCCTGCCGCGCCACCTAATCACTTTGATAATCACCGTGAACCGTGTTCATTGTTGGGCCGCGTTTACGAGAATCGAGGCAACGCGGCTCTAACGTAGTTATCGATTCAAGCCGGACGATTTAATGAAGGCTAATTCGCACCCGATTACCTTTCGCCAATTTAATCAAGCAGATATTAATACACGCCTAATCCGATGATATCGGAGGGGGAGTAAGTTGGATAAGTTTAAATTAAGGGACAAAATTCGTTCGTTTGAGAGTGAATTATTATTGCGCTCTATACATTATTGGTGTTGGTACGCCTATTTTCGAAGGATAAAGGCGCGAGAAAATTGGAAAATTGAATTAAAATATTTCGTACGTTTATTTAAGTTTGATTAGATTCTCCCGAAAAATCACTCTTTCGCGTTTCTGCTCGCCTGGATCAAAGAACACGCTCGCGTTCAAATACACGCGAATGTTTTCGGGAATATTTCGGGCGAAACAAATGTTTTAATCTTTATTCATTGGAATGCAGGTTTGATTTGAAAAGATCGAATGTTGATTTTAAATGAAATTGTTTTCGAGATAAATAAATTGGGTGATTTGTATGAATAATTACAATTATTGAATTTATGTCCAAGTTTTGTAATGATAATTTATGATATCATTATAACGTAATGGAAAGTATTCGTAAATATTATTTCCCAATTTTATATATTTCACGATTTCATTGAAAATTTTAATTAACATAATGTTTGAATACACTCGTATTATATATTTTTCGCGATCTGAAGAGGAATTGTTTCAACATATTTATTGTCGGAAAAACGAAGACAAGGAAGTTTTATATTTTTAATTATCCCGATGACAAACCTAAAGTAAGTATAAATAAAGTTGTTACAAAAGTTTTTCTTCGTAGTTGCAAACTACTTTAATTTATACACGTAATAGATTTTCCAAGAAAAAAGAGCCTGAACTTTATTTTATGAAAGCTGCAGAAGCTCGTGAAGGTTTAACCATGATAATGGATTCTATGTTAGATGACTTTTTTTTTTTTATATTACCTATCACCGGTTGGAAAATAATTGAAGAGTTCATAAGAGAAATGATCCTTGTCAATTTTTATCTTTCTCTCGAAGAATAGGGAAATATCGTAGCGTCGTTAATTTTTATGCGAGAAATTTTCATTTTGTTTAATCAACTTTCATTCGTTTCAATCCAATGCGTGAATCATTCCAATTTGACTCTTTAATCGTTTTCATTTCTTTGAACACGATCGTCAACGATCGTTCCATTTTTACGGTGTAAAAATGTTTGTCGACAAAAAACCGGCCAAAGTCATTAGCAATGCAACGCAACATTTCGTTTCGCGTTGGAAAAAACTTGGTCCATCATGACAACCATTTGCCGCGTTGGATGCACATTTTCCGCGTTGATGTACTGTTTAACGAGGTTTCTAAACAGTGCTATAAACGTTACATCCAACATAAATACCGGATTTATGTATCGATCGTGGAAAAAAACATGGATAATTACGAATTACGAAAGACAGAACAATAGATTGGCTGGAAAAAAATTTTGAAAAATAAATTCGAAAAAATATATAAATAACCACTTTCGTTTAAAATAAAATATTTCGTTCATAAATATAAATGAAATAAATCTTATGCTAATACCAAAAACTCTCTACATTAGTAATTTTTTGATAATAAAATTTTAATTTCAGAATACCTACATATTAATATAATTAATTTTTATAATTAATTCTTTTCTCCTTCGTATCCTATCGAATATAATCCGGATACGTAAATCCGTTATATAATGATATTCAACTTATAATTATCCTGACTCGAAAGTTATGAGAATTTTATTTTCATTATTAACCGAACATAATTCTATTTTTAAGAAAATAAAAATAGTATAATTAATTTTATGTAATAATAATTACACAAAACTTTTCGAACGTATAAATTCCTAACCTCAATAAAAAAGTTTTATTCAATGTAATCACAGTCTTAAAGTAGATTCATTATTTGATTTAATATATTTTGAATTTATTTTTATTGTTCGAAAAAAACTTCAAATAATTAAACATTTTATTTCTTTATATTCTTAAAAAATATTATATAAAGAATATAAAGAATATACGCGAAAGTCTGAGAAGTTTTCGTTGTGTTTCGTTCAACAAAAACTATTTTATTTTCGATTTCTCGATTTCCAGGATTTGTGACATGACAAATATGCAATTAATTTTTACATTATTTTCACATTATAATGAAAAATAATTGATAGAATTCAAGGAAATTTTTTTCCTATATTAATTATATAATGATATCAGATATTACGTTTAAAATTTGATAAATATGATTCAGCTTGATTACGAAAATTCCACATTATAAGAAAACAATGATATATAATTATATTTTTATCGAATGTATTGCTATCTTATCTTTAAATATTATATTTTTAATCTAAATATAAACGTAATAAATCGTATATCGTAATTATAAATCGTATATTTTTTGAAAAAAGAAAACATTTTTATAAAATAAAATGTAAATTTCATTTCGATTTTTTGGAATACACTATTTTTATTTATTTTAAATAATTTTATTATTTAATTCGTAATGATTACGAATTAATACGTTGTATAATAATCTGTTGCAGGTTATGGTACGCTTGTTTCGAAACTTATTTTTCTAATCATTACAAACAATCAACAAAATTTATAGATTAAAGTGTTTTCCTCTATAATTTTGTCGATTATTTTAATTTATAATGATATTTAAAGTATTTTTACTTACTTGTTTGACACTGAGCAAGTCGCGAAGTCTGATCATTGTTCTCGTTATTCTTTAAACAAATGTCTTGAAAAAAGTTCTAACACAATAGCACAATAAACAAAATTAAACACAATTAACTAATTTAAACACATTAAATAACGTACTCTTTTAACACGTATATTCCCGTGATTATAAAAAATAAACTAAAATATACGACGCTAACTCGTTACCGATATTTTACTACGCATTTAGACAGTTAACAATAATGGACGCCGAAAGAGAACACTACGCGAGTCAAAAAATTTCAAATACTATTCAAATATTTTATACGCATATTTAATTCGTAAATATTATTAATATAAATAAATAAATAAATTAAGAATAAAAATAATTTTCACGAGTACGATTTAATACGTCTTTACTGTTCGAAAGTTTTGCGGATATTGAATGTTCTGCGCGGCGTTTTTGTTTTGGTTTAAACGATAGCGCGTGCCCTTTCGTTATATTCTACGAAGCAATTTGGAAATCGAATGTTATGTGTTCTTATAAGAAACTGTTTGGAAATATATCCTTGTTTCTAATACGTATTCGAATTGAAAATCGATATATTATCATTTTCGTGTATGAAATATACTTTCGTTTATATAAACGATATCAAATTCTTTTTTTATCGATCGAACTATCAGAATTAAAAATTACGAAAATTTGAAATTTGAAAAATCTCATTTCTTTCATCCTTTTCAAACTGAAAGGAAAATATTATTCCAAAGAGTTTTTATTCACTAAAAAGATGGTAAAGTCTCGAGAATAGAATGAGATGTTATGATCGAGTGTTATTAATGAGACACATACTAAACGTTTTGTGGTGGCCACGGTGGGTCAAGAAAATCTTTCTGGTGGCGGTGTGTTCGTAAAAGAAAAATGTCGTCATCAAGAATCCAGCACGGTAATAATCTTCGGTCACAGTTGTAGGATATCGAGCGACCAAGATATATTTGAGGTTCTGGGGCATCGTGTTACAATGATAAAATTTATTATTAACGAGGCCAGAAACACGATCACGATTTTATCCTTGTATTTTTTTTACCATCTATATTACAAGAATTTATGATTATGATTATGATTATGATTATGATTTTCAATCTTCATACGTGGAAATTTTCTTCGCACTTCTTTCTTCTCGTTTATATTTTATTTTTACCTTTCTCGAGTGTAAGATAAAGCTTATCGATCGAAACAAATTGCAGAACATTAGTCAATCGTCCACATGGATTAAAAAGAAAGTTTCGTTCGTGTGGTCAACAGTTCTAGCGCACTCGATCTTGAAGTCGCTTCGAGACGTGACCCGCGTGCTCAAGCATCGCTGTTTGAATAACGTGAAATGAGTTTCACTGCAATTTTTCGCGATGCAATTCAAACTTTTCGTAGTTTCAAGAATCTTACGAATTGCGAGCAAACAAAACGACGTTATCGATACACTTTACACTTTACAATTTACTTTCACTTCTTCCCTTCCAATGCTACTTCTTACCAATACTCGACACTTTCCATTTTATACAAGATGAAAGAGAAATTCGAAGTAAAAATTTATTTTTCCTCAATTTATCAATTTATCACTTTTTTAAAATAATTTCGACAAATTTCGATACATTACGAGTTTCGTTCTCACTAGTATCCCTCGTTATATATCGATAGAAAGCTGAGGGAGGGATAACTCATCAGTCGTTGATATTGATGTCTGCGAGCCCCGGGCTGTGGTTCTTCACCGCTAAAACAAAGTAATTTATCTGCACTCTGACGCAGGGATCCGCTGTCTCACGTTCTGAATTGGCAGTGCACGCGCAGCCAGTCTCGTTACAAATTGCCCAGCAACATTAGTTCTGTTCGACGGTCTCCCGAATTCGCCGCAGGTGTTTCCGTGCGATGGAAATTTCCGTGGATCGGGCTCGTTTCATCAAACGTCGACCGTATCGGGAATAAAACGCCCTAAAATGCCACTGAAATTCCACGATAAAAATCCCGTTAAATATTCCGATACCGTTCTCCACCAATTATTTAACATTTTTATTGTACTTTTAGCTCATTCTCGTTCTACGAGAAAGTCGAATTCCCGAAAGAGTTTTTAATTCTCGCGAGATATTTATGAATTATGAAAAGATAAAGATATTTTTATATATTTAAATAAAAGCGACGAAACGGTCAAACACTGTAGAGTTCTTCTTTCTTTTTTTTTTTTTTTCTTCTGTTGTCCTTACAAGAGCGTTAATTTCTGAGTTAATTCTCGGTTAATAGAAGGGATTAAATATCTCTTGGCGGATTACACGGCGGAAGATGCAGCCACTAGCAATTCCTCGTCGCGGCATTATTGCGTTAGGGCATTGTTCGATCGAGAAGAACACACGAGTCAGACACATGCCCTGCTCGTAATCAAGAAAAGGATCCGCGAACATCAAAGGCTGAGACCTCAATCAAATCCAATACCGTCGTCGTCGTGACTAGAAATTCAGGATCAGTTCACAGAAAAGGTATCCTCTTATAAAAAGATCTAACCGACTCTGGGACGAACGGAATTAAATTAAACGTCCGTTTAAGTAGTGTCCAATTTTAGACGATGGTTCGTTTTTTTTTTTTTTTTATTGTACTTCCTTTCAAAGATAAAACACCAGCTTCTTCTTCTCTCGAACGAATATATATTATATCGTTTATCGAACGTAAAGAGGACATTTTCCACTCGCCAACCGGCGATAAGTTCGTTTTGACACTAATTTTCCACCGAAAAATCGATAGCAACGGCCCTCTAAAGTTTGCTAAATTTGCAATAAATGCGGTTACCAGCAGAATATTTTGAGGGTTCGACCCAAATGAGGCAAGTGTGCTCAGCTTCTTGTTTGACCGATCGCGCAACACCTGCTTTGCGGGACGAGAATGCGGTCGAGAACGATAATAGCCCAATCTGTCCTCGATATTGAGATTGATCGAAAACGTTTAAACTCGAATATAGGAATGTTACGTCAAATATAAACTTCCTTTAAACTTTAATTCCCCCCCTTTTTTTAACATGATTCGAGAACAAGAAATGTTAACTTTTTAACGATCCATACAAAAATTGCGTAACAATTCTGAGACGATCTAATTTTTAAAAGAGGCATTGATATCCTCCTGTCCAAGGATATGCTTCCTCGAACGCATGGAAATAAAGCGCGTCCAGGTTATAATATCGCGCATCTGCGATATTTATAAAACGATATTAAAACTCTTTTGTCGATAATCTTTTTGAATACCGAAGAAACTTCGCGAAGCATCCCATGTTATATAAAAATCGATCATCCCTTCTCCCTCCAGGCAGACTATCCTCCAAGGCAAATATTCTGATCACGCCTATCTCTCGGTTTATGATGACCGGAACCAGTCCCTCTTGCCCCCGTTTTCTTACGACGTTCCATATCGCATTGATGGCGACCGGAAATGGGCTCGTCGTCCTTTCTTTTTCTCTTTTTTTTCGCTCGAATTTGCCGATAAGATTTCGAGGGTATGCATCGCGAAACATTCCGCTCTTCGTGCACGCCATTTTGTTCCATCCAGATCGATTGGATTTCTACTGGTAAAAGGAATCGTCGATGTTTCAATGAGCGGCTTCACGCAATGTGATTTTTCCATTTTTAACAAAACGTGTTCGGAGAAACGATTCAGTTTTTGCAATACGAACGAATCACCGTTTTCGTTGTTCGTCGAACATCGGTGTTAATTTTGGAACGGAACGAAAGCAGGACGTAGTTCGATGGAAATAAATTATTAGATAAGAAGTGGATTCGCGGACACACGTATCCGCCACGAATTTTTTATTTTTCAATTTTTGTCTTCGGGTCAGTCAGTGTTCGTTATAAATCTCTTTCGTCCAACTTCCGCTGAAGATTGTCTCGTGAAACGGATCTACTAGGATAAATTATTTCAACCCTTTCAACGTATTCGCAATTAATGATTCGCAACTTTCGTTTCGTTCGAGATTTCGGGGTGGATTTCTTTCTCCTATTCTCGACGATAGCCTTCGTCTACGTGGAACAAATTGCTGGCATGCATTCCCGCGATTTATCCTGCGCGGGAACATGACAGGATGGACGCAGTTTGCAAATCTGTTTCCAACCCTTTCGAATCGGATTTTCAATCGTAAAGGGAGACGCCTGTTACACGAGGTTTTCACGTATCAATCGAATTTGAATACACGTGTACGTGTACAGAACTTGATAGGGAGAAATATATCTTATCAGGTGCAGGTATTTTGCAGCCAATGAATACATTCAAGACCGTAACAATTTTATTGTTCGAGGTCGACAGCATCTTAAGGGAATTGGCCTTCCGCAGTAGCTGCGCGATAAATTTTTTCGAGGACGGAAAAGAAAAGTAAAAGAGACGAAGCAATTGATCTCGTCCAAGTTTTCATCTCGCTCTACCGTAGAGTAAAATCTTATCCATGATATGATATACGTACATATATGATGAAGAAAATTTACGTCAAATTAAATTAATATTTCACTGTTTTGGTATCGATGCGATAGTTGAGATATAGAACGACAGATTAACTTATTCCACGATAATTCCACGGATTAAAGGATTCCCGGACACTGATAGATCAGTCGACGGATGCTCGATTCGAAATCGTCTATTCTATTTTATTCTTTTTTTTTTTTTTTTTCGTAAAGCAACCGATCTCTGTCTCTGTCGGTGATCGCTCACTCGGCGAATTAACACCTCACGGCCAATTACGCGATAGATACAGGACGACAATGGCGACATAGTTGGAACCGTTTCACGGGGATGAGTATCACGTACTCCCGCTTTTCGATTTTCCTATTTTTTTTCACCGTTTGAATTTCCTACTCGATCACGATTCTCCACGCTACCTTCGCATGCTTTGCTGTTTCATCCATCCTCCCTTTTGTCCCTCCTCTCGTCTCCCTTCTCCCTGGATGAAATTTCGAACGCGATCACGACCGACTGCGAATCGTCAGAGCAGTAGAATCGAGGGATGCGAAATGAAAATTTCCCTTTGATATATATCGTTCCTGTTCGATGATATTCGCGTAATGAGGATATCTTTCTCCTTCCAACGAATGTACATACATTATTTCCAGTTCGAATAACAAATCACGAAAAAGATCAATAATGTCTCAAGGCCTTTTCAATTCCTTTCTTCCCCTGTTCTCGTAATATCCAAACAAAAATACCAGATTCCATCATTCTAAAAAGTCTTCTTGTATCTCAGTTTCACTGTTATTAATCATAATCCCGTATAAATAAACTTTTTGTACGTTCACGGTGTAACACGTATGGAAGAAATAATTCGTTCGAAATGAACAGATCGAGAAGATGTGCGGAACGAGAGTGTAACGATCGCGATAATCGTTCGACGTATTATTAATATTAATGCGGGCGAGAATTTTCACGGATTTGAAACGATGTTGGTGGATGTCGTTACTTTTCTATATAAAACCGGAATATATTAATTTTCGGTGAATAAATTTTGCAACTGACCGTACCGCACGAAACTTTGTCACAGGGGTTTCGAAGTTTCCACCCTGCTCGACGCTTTTTGCCATCGTCCCCCCACCGCGCCTTTCCACCATCCCCCCAAATTCTCGTCAACCCGAATCTCGCCACTTCACCGTGGGATCCGGTTTTCAAGCGCTCTTCCAGCCAGTCCACTGATCGTTAACGGGCATCGCGTTTTACACTCGACCTTGGTCGTTGACTTTTTTCTTTTTCTTTTCTTTTTTTTCGATTGGTAATTCGCGGGGCTGTCGATGAAATCGGAGGGATGATTAATGACGGTGTAACGGCGAGGTTACGAGAAGAAATTGCAACGAGGAAACGGTCGATTTGTGGCGGAAAGAATTTATAAACGACTACGTGTATCTGCTGCACACAGAATGGGTAACATTAATCCATTGGAAATAGGGAAGTAAATTTAAGGAGGAAGATTCCCAGTTACAGATCCACGACGTTTAGTTGGAGAAACTAAAAGTCGAGACAAGAAATATTAATCGAAGAAGAGGCGTAAATATTTTTCTCCTCTTCCGGAAAAATGAAGAAAATCCTCAAGGGTCGTTTCTCAAGTTAAGAATCCTACGACAGAAATCAAGGCATAATCCTTAAAGGTTACCCTCTTTTTCTTACTCAAACCTTAAATTCACCTTGAATTTTATCCTGGACGAACTTTGAACGAACCACCGAGAGAGGCGTTTCTGAGGGGTGCATTGCTCGTTGAAAGAAAATCTCGGTGACCGTGGTTTTAAACCAAGAAATTCATGGATCCCACGGGGGATCGTGCAACCGTACAGGGCGCCCAATGACCCAGCCACGTTCCTATGTTCCACGATTACCTGCAAAACGTGCCTGTTACTCCAGATCAACGCTGGATTATCTTCCAGTCTGTACTTATTTAAATTCCGAAAATGTCAGCACCGAGATCGTATCTTGATTCTTCCTTTCTCCCTTTTTTTTTTCAACGCCAATTTTTCTCATTAAAATCGTCATCGTCACTCTCAAGCAAAGGAACAACAATCAGAGAAGAAGAGAAATGCTGAAATCAGATTCGTTTTTTCGTATATATTTTCTTAAATTTTTCTTAAATTATTATCAATCTTATTCAAATGGTCCAAAGATAAAGGATGATTTTCTTCATAGACGAGGAAGCGTTTAGGGAGGGAAAAGTTATAATTTGGTCGAATTGTTTTTTTTTTTGGGACGCATCATTCTTTCTGCTCGGGAAAACGCGCAAGATATTTGCGGTATGGCGAATTCAACTTGCGATAAAAATTGTTCGTTATAAGGGAGGATGTTTGGAGAGGTATTAATCAAACATTGTTTATAACGTTTTGGTTTAAAAGCGCGCGAATATAAAGAGCCGGTGAATGGAATAACAATGGAAAGTGTAAATTTTATGTACACTATGCGGTACTAAAGATGGTGGGTATGTTTTATCGTTATTGTATCGTTCGTTAAATTTCATGGTTTGGATGTGTTTTATTGTTATTGAGCCGTTCGTTAAATTTCGAAAGGATCGAGTGGAAGATGTACGAGTTTTGCCACAGAGAAAACCAGATATTTTATGCAGCTCCGTGTTGAGCGAATTTGTGAATATGAAACGTGAATTGATGGAGGGTGATAGACGCTTAGATCGAATTTACTTTGAAATATTAAATTGTAGATAATGTCTGCAATAATTTACAATAAAAAATAATAAATTTTATAAATTATCGCGTAAATCTTTTTCACTCCCGTCCCGCATTTTTAGTTTTATCCGAGGGGTGATTTTTACGTATTTTCACGTATCTATTTTACGTGGTATTATTTTTACTTGATTTCATTTCGATTCAAATTGTTTTTATGATTTTTATTAGGTGGTCGGGAAATTAATTGCAGTTTTCGATTATACGAAATCTTTATGGTTAATTTTAAATAAATTGAAACGATTCGGCCGTAAATAAAAATCGTTACG